GAGACATTCTGGATCCTCTCTGGAGCAATTCTTACGGAATGCTCATCTACAGGTGCGATTGCATCATTCACCTGCAGGATAGTCACGTCAGGTGACTGACTATTTCTAAAATGTACCTCAATTGAGTCAGGTCTTTCTTCTATCACATGGCAGTTACGATCAGATTGTACATGTGATTTCTCATAGGTTATGGGAACCTTAGCTTGTGACCATACAATTCCATTTACACAGTCAATAATTGTGTTAAGTCTTCTGAGTATGTCTATACCCAGAATCAGTCGGTCATAGGGGAGATCTACCACTATCACCGGGTGTCTAAAGGTTTTGTTACCTATTTTAAACTTTAACCAGGTATTGCCAATAACATGAAGGGCATTTCCTCCTACACTCAACAGAGCATTGGGGAAATCTCTTAGCTTCGGCTTATCCGTTGCTAAGTCCATTACCTGCTGGAAGTAGGTATTGGATAAGATAGTGGCTTGTGAACCAGTATCTATTAACCCTTTAAAAGGCTGGGGTAACGAATCCTGTATTTCTACAGACATGTAGTACCTTCCTTCATGTTCTTCTAATTCACATAAGAATTTAGAATGTGTCAACATATTACTTGTTTTCCATACATTACCGGTCACAGCAGTAGTTTCTACCTGTACTGAGGAATGCTCAGTCTTACCCACAGGCCCATCCTTTTTAGGAATATCTTGAACTGTCAAGCGGGAACTAGTGGTCGGCATCTCATCAGTTAACCCTTTCAGGTCTGGATCCTGGAAACTAGTGGTTGCTGGGGCTACTTTAGCCTTTGGCTGAAATGAAAAAACAGAGGAACACGTTGCGCCTCCTTCACCCGGAAGTGAAGTGACGGTATAGGCAATAGGTTTTCTAACACAACTATTGTTTATTTGACTATGAGTACCTGGAAAGGAAACAGGGTTAGGTATTACATCTACTGATAACCTAGCCTGTTTAGTCACAGTGGCTATTATTGCTGCGGCACCTGTTGTTGTTGCTGCGGTTGCACAGGTAGTTCTGCAATTGGAGCTATCCCTAAAAAAGGATTTAGAGCAAAGACTTGGTTGATCTTTGTCATTTCCTCCATTAATTTGCCCATCTGGTCTGTCAATTGACCAACCTGACGACGCAAATTATTTCCCCCATTGCCGTTTTGTCTTTGCCCATTAGAATTTGGCTGGGATGGCTGAGACTGTTGGGAGTTATTGGAAGCAGATTGGTTATTTCTGTTTCCATATCTCCTATTTCCCTGAGGATTCCTTCTCCATTGGGAATTGCCTTGGTTTTTGTTAACCCAGGGGCGTTTATTCCCATTGGCATTGGATTTATCAGAGTTTTTAGAGGAATTTGCAGAATTGCTTCTAGCGTTTTCCTGTTTCTGAGGTTTTGGAGATTTCAAAACCTCGGAATAGGTCCTCTTTTTCTGTTGGGTTTCTAAACCTAACTGAATTTTAGTCTCTGACACCATTTTATCACCAGGTTTCTTAACCTTTGGCTGATTTTCGTCATGTGCATGGTGTATAGTGTACAACTTCATACACTGACTGACTAGCCATTCTAATGGCAACTTACAATCGTAATCTCTTGCGAGATTCATTTGTATGTTTACCGGCATGGCATGAAAATACAGATCTTTGAAGTCTGTGCTTTCATACCTGGGTTTTCTTTGGGCCACGGAGTATGCATTTTTAAGAATTATTAAAAATTCTCTGGGGCTTTGATCTGGACGGCACTTTAAGTTATAAAGCGCCTTCTTTGCAGAGGCAATGGTTTTATACTTACCATATTCCATGATTATTTCATATTTCATCTTGGACCAGGACATTAACTGTATAGCTTGAAGACTTTCTAGATAAACACGACACATTGAATCAAAGGTCCATGTAATGAACCATTTCTTATGAATGTCATCATACATACCCAATGAATTCATTGCTCTATCATAATTTTCCAGATGTTCAGATATGTTTCCTGAACCTCTAGAAAATTGTGGGACAGTCTCTCTAAGGAATTTGATGACCTTTGGTGTTTCATAAACAGGCGTCGTTGATTTACGACCTCTGTTTCTGTGTTTGGGTAAACGTCTATGCGATCTGTCTGCTGAAGAGGAATTAGACCCGTACAACAGTGCAGATGGCATATCAGTTACATGGCCTTCAGAGTGGACAGTGCAATCACTTTCACTCCCATCACTCTGAGCTTCTTGTTCACTGTCACAATTCCGATCAGCATCAGAATTCTGCCAGTGAACAGAACCATGTCTGTTTTCATTCCTATCACCTTGAATCTGATTCCTTCTGTCAAGCATGGCCAGGACAGTCTTTTCAAACTGTTCTGCCCAAGATTGCCAAGAATCTATAGGTGTTTTCTCAGAATTACTCACATCTTTACTTACAGACTGTTTTATGAAAACCTGGTCTGGTGTGTGAATATCAGGGAATTGAGAAGAATCACTTGGGTTTTTTCCCAGTAATTCTTCACTTCCCTTTTGATATTCATCTAGCTGCATCTGTATCTGTTTTATCTGTTGATCATAATCATCCACCATTTTGCTCATTCTTTCCAGTTTATTAAAAAGGTCAGAGTTTAGAGCCCGAAGGAGATTATTTTCATCAGACAAAGTTTTTAACCTTCCTTGTTCGAGCACCAGGTCTTTCTGACACTCGTCCAATTTACGTTCTATCTCATTATGCTTTTTTAACATAATAGAATAACCCAATATGAAAAACGGGCATGATTTGGTAACAGATCGCATTGTAGACTCTTCATCTATATGGCTAAGATATTTAACCATAGGTGAATCAGCCGATCTATCATGAATTGAATCATCAACCTGTTTTTTTATTTGGAGTATCCACTCTGGATAATCAACTTTAATATTTAGATACTGATATATGATGCTTAAGGGAAAACCTTGCATTTCCGCTAACTTCTTCCCATTCTCTGATTGAGATGAAGCGCTAGATTCAGCCATATTTCTATACAGTGATTTAATCTCAATACAAAACTCTTTTCTATATCAAGATTAAATTGCATGAATTACACCAATATTATTATTATATATGAAATACAATTTCAACTTAAACGATCTCAGCAGTGCCTCCAATATGTGGGGATATTTATGGGATAATAATAGTAACAGTGAGAATTGCCCACTAATTCAATTCTCAGATCCCAAAGAACGTTTATCGTGTTAAGTGGAATGTATTTCATATAATTAATATCACAATGTATAAAAATAGATTTTTATTTATGATGACAAATTAATTAATAATAACATGTAACATAATAATACAAAAAAAGGGTGCGCTGTGTCTTTAAGACAAGAAAAGTGCAATGTACCTTTAAAAACACTCCAGTGCTTCAAAAAAAAAACACACAAACTCTATTCAATAAATGTGTTACTATTACACACTCTACAATAGTGCAAAAAAAGTGCAAGTGTGCAAATAACACTTTTATACCAATGTATTGGTGAGAGTTGGTAATTTTTAAATACCACTTTTCTATCAGTGTATTGGTGAAAAATTAGTAGAAAAAACGGAGCACTTACAATACCCCGCTATATGTACCTTAGGTCTGGTTACTCCAGTATTGCATACATATGTATAAAAAATAGATAAAAGAACATAGTGTAATACAGTATTATAAATTATGTTATTAGAACAAAGAATAGTGTTAAACTCACAAGTGGAGAGCAGAGAAGTCTGCTCTAACTTTATCCGCTTCTTGTGTAAAGCCAAAAGGTCATAGGACAGCAGCAAGTTGAAAGAAACACTTTTTTATTTCCAAAACAAATCTTCACAATATTAAAAATAGTCCCCCAAGTGGTATCGCTTTGCTCACTCAGTCTCTCTATGGAAGGCGTACTGCATACAGTTTCGCTGCCGGCTAGCACCGTACTGCAAACACTTCCTGGAGGCGGAGCCTAATGACGTAACCACGGGACGTACGTGATGACGCGTTTCGCCACAAAATCGGCTTCCTCAGATCACACTTCCATTCTGCTGCTGTCTTGCTTTTAAGTCCGTTTTCACAGGTGTATGTCCACCTATTAAGTCCTCATTAGTGTAACCCCTTAATATCTTAACAGAAATCTTCATTCAATTATTCATTCCCAGGGTCATATCTCCTAAATCAAATTTTTCCTTACATATGAAAAAAAACACTAATTTATACTAAAACACATTTATCAGACACATACATAAAAAACATAAGCCTATAGATTAAAAAACTAAAAGTATCTCTTAGCTATAGTTATTAGAACATACTAAAAAGTATATAATAAAAAATATCAATATATATTATAAAAAATTATGTAAATCAAATTCTATATTTAAACCTCTCGGTTCCAAAGTTCCTAAACGGTGTACCCATTTCATTTCTTCTTTACCTATTGCATTTATATGATCTCCTCCTCTCCAAGATTTATTAACTATTTGAATTCCTAAATAATTAACCCATTTGGATCCCTTTTATGGTATTTATTAAAATGGGCTGACACACTGTGTTGCTCAAAGCCACGTTTTATATTATATACATGCTCATAAATACGTTTGTGAAGGGGACGTATTGTTCGACCCACGTATTGTAACCCACATGGACAAATCAGCAAATAAACAACATTTTTACTACAGCAAGTAATAAAATCTTTTATAACAAATTCCTCTTCTTTTTCTCTTGCTTTAAATTTGCTTATCCCTTTTAAAGTTCTATTTTTACTGCATTTGCAGCCCATACATTTTCCACATGAATAAAAACCGCTTTTATTATTTAAGAACGTTGTTCTAACTTCTTTTCTAGGATGATTAAAGGTAAGGAGTCTTTTAAAATTTGGGGCACCTCTAAAAGTGATAAAAGGTCTCTCTGGTAAAATTTTTCCCAAATCTTTATCTTTCTTTAATAAAGGCCAATGTCTATTGATTATGGATCTAATTTTTCTAGAATCACTATTAAAATCAAATACTAAGGGCATCTTTATATCTTTTTCTTCAGTCGATCTGTTCTTTTGTCCCACAATTAAATCTTCCTGATCAAGTGTAATTACTTCCTCATATGCTCTATGATTACACTTGATCAGGAAGATTTAATTGTGGGACAAAAGAACAGATCGACTGAAGAAAAAGATATAAAGATGCCCTTAGTATTTGATTTTAATAGTGATTCTAGAAAAATTAGATCCATAATCAATAGACATTGGCCTTTATTAAAGAAAGATAAAGATTTGGGAAAATTTTTACCAGAGAGACCTTTTATCACTTTTAGAGGAATTTGTTATAAAAGATTTTATTACTTGCTGTAGTAAAAATGTTGTTTATTTGCTGATTTGTCCATGTGGGTTACAATACGTGGGTCGAACAATACGTCCCCTTCACAAACGTATTTATGAGCATGTATATAATATAAAACGTGGCTTTGAGCAACACAGTGTGTCAGCCCATTTTAATAAATACCATAAAAGGGATCCAAATGGGTTAATTTTTTTAGGAATTCAAATAGTTAATAAATCTTGGAGAGGAGGAGATCATATAAATGCAATAGGTAAAGAAGAAATGAAATGGGTACACCGTTTAGGAACTTTGGAACCGAGAGGTTTAAATATAGAATTTGATTTACATAATTTTTTATAATATATATTGATATTTTTTATTATATACTTTTTAGTATGTTCTAATAACTATAGCTAAGAGATACTTTTAGTTTTTTAATCTATAGGCTTATGTTTTTTATGTATGTGTCTGATAAATGTGTTTTAGTATAAATTAGTGTTTTTTTTCATATGTAAGGAAAAATTTGATTTAGGAGATATGACCCTGGGAATGAATAATTGAATGAAGATTTCTGTTAAGATATTAAGGGGTTACACTAATGAGGACTTAATAGGTGGACATACACCTGTGAAAACGGACTTAAAAGCAAGACAGCAGCAGAATGGAAGTGTGATCTGAGGAAGCCGATTTTGTGGCGAAACGCGTCATCACGTACGTCCCGTGGTTACGTCATTAGGCTCTGCCTCCAGGAAGTGTTTGCAGTACGGTGCTAGCCGGCAGCGAAACTGTATGCAGTACGCCTTCCATAGAGAGACTGAGTGAGCAAAGCGATACCACTTGGGGGACTATTTTTAATATTGTGAAGATTTGTTTTGGAAATAAAAAAGTGTTTCTTTCAACTTGCTGCTGTCCTATGACCTTTTGGCTTTACACAAGAAGCGGATAAAGTTAGAGCAGACTTCTCTGCTCTCCACTTGTGAGTTTAACACTATTCTTTGTTCTAATAACATAATTTATAATACTGTATTACACTATGTTCTTTTATCTATTTTTTATACATATGTATGCAATACTGGAGTAACCAGACCTAAGGTACATATAGCGGGGTATTGTAAGTGCTCCGTTTTTTCTACTAATTTTTCACCAATACACTGATAGAAAAGTGGTATTTAAAAATTACCAACTCTCACCAATACATTGGTATAAAAGTGTTATTTGCACACTTGCACTTTTTTTGCACTATTGTAGAGTGTGTAATAGTAACACATTTATTGAATAGAGTTTGTGTGTTTTTTTTTTTGAAGCACTGGAGTGTTTTTAAAGGTACATTGCACTTTTCTTGTCTTAAAGACACAGCGCACCCTTTTTTTGTATTATTGTATTTTTAGTGTTTTATGGGCTATTGCACTTTATAAGGGAGCTGCTTCATAGGTTTTAAGGTTGTTATTATTTTAGACGTGTATTGAGCGCCTTTTTTTACTTGTCTTCTCTCTTGTAATAACATGTAACATGCATGACAATAATCAATGAATATCCAGTATAAAATGATATGCAATACAAAGAAATGGGTATTACGTTTCAATGGCTAAACGGCATTATCTGTCAAGACTTTGACGATTTATGACTATGCTTACACAGACTGAAAGTTAAACTTTTCACACAGAGAACAGAATTCCTCAGAGTGCAGCATAAGGTCGTAAAGTTTAGCAGACAGTTAGAATAACCCTTTCAATGCTGGCTAGATCTCCTAGGTAATTAAGATCTATTCTTATGTAATTTTAAATAAAATAACATTTAACCCAGTTCATTAGTCATTTTCTGAAACCATCCAATAAGAGAATCTACCACATTATATAAGCAGATTTTAATTTGTCTAAAAGATATCTTATCTTAATTTAGAGCAAATCAATACACCTGGATAAAAACAGCGGTATGCTAACACGTGATAATATCACATCAATATATAATTATTCTTAATTCCACCTGCAGAATGGAATGTTTATAACTATATATTCTTTAGTTAACTAAGATTTCTTAATATGGAAATCTGACCGTGCTTTATCCAGTCATATATAATGCTATTAATACATTTTAATTAATTTAATTAATTAAATGAAACCAGTATAATTACCAGTTGAGTAGATATTTCATCCGATTGGTAGATAGTCTCAGGAACTTATTTGGATGTCTCTCTGTATGGAGGTGTTGGTGAAAGTCAGTAAATTCTAAGTGTTAGAGTTTTAGGAGTAGAGTGTTAGTCTCAGATGTTGTCCGAGTTGGAGTCCCCAAACTTCCAATTCCTCTCTCCTCTCCTTTGCATCTCTTGCATACCTTTCCTGTCTCTATCTTCCCTTTGTCTTAACTTTTAAAGGGCCAGACTCTCTGTACGTCATCAGTTGATAACCCAATAGAAGCACTAGAGGTGTGGTTATCTTCCAGATCGCAAATTAGTTATTTGGTCTGTAGAGGGCAGTCTTGTCCCACTAAACATACCTATCCAGGAAAGAGTTAACTTTTCCTGGTGGCTATTTTGACGTCATTTTGGCCTATCTAGATAGTGGCTATAACTTACGTATCCTTCAAAGATCAAAGGGTTTCTTAAATTTTGTCCAGACTATGTGTCTGCAAATCTGAGTTTTTTTTTCTGATATGGCAGATCATGAACTAAGTTTACCCTTTTCCATACAATGGTACCTTATATATATATAGACAGTTAAATTTTATTATTTAATCTTCTCTGTCACAATTGTCTGGGTTTAGATTTGATTATATTCTTCTTATCACTTGTTTATACTATGCTATGCATTCCTTAGCTCTGGCAAAGAGGCCAGTCTTCCAGAAAGAAATCCTGTGTCTCTTTGTTTTTGTTAACTTGGAATAACAAAATGGAGTCTGGTCTGTTCAGAGTGACTCAGAATATACACTTTTAGTTTCTATCATAGCACAAAATGTCTGCCGATATAAATACCCTGACAATATACAGGCCCTGAAGTCGGACATCGAGGCCTTGTCCCGACGGACCAACCAGGCTGAAGCACGCTTGACAACCCTAGCTGATACCTCCCGCTCCCATTCTCAAGAAATCACCTACCTCCATGGGAAAATAGCGTCATTGGAAGAGGAGCTGGAGGATCTCAACAACCGGTCGCGCCGGAATAATATCCGGGTCCGGGGCCTCCCCGAGTCAGTGCCACCTGATCGCCTGCAGGCAACGCTGGTAGACTTGTTCCGGTCCCTGCTGCCAGAAGCATCGGAACGGGACCTCGAGCTGGATAGGGCACACAGAGCCCTCCGGGCCCCGGCCCTCAGCCCGGACACCCCGAGGGATGTTATTGTCCATCTCCACCGGTTCCCAGTTAAGGAACTGCTGCTACGGAAAGCGCGGCAAAATCCACCGCTGTACCAGGGCAAGAAGGTGGCCTTTTTCCAGGACCTGGCGCCCCTGACCCTTAAAAAGAGAAGGGATCTTCGGCAGCTAACACTTACCCTCACTCACTACGGAATCCGGTATTTGTGGGGCCATCCCTTTAAATTGGTGGTCCGCAAGGAGGACCAGACCCACATCCTTAGTACCGCGTCAGGGAGATGGCCCCCTTCGCAACATCCTTGGGCCTGGAGCTTCTCCCTCCACCCTCTCAAACAGCATCACGACCCAGGGGAAGACCTGGAGGGGGGACCAACGCGGTAGACCATTCGCCCCGCCGCACACCAAGGAAGAGAGCTTCGGAGACGGAGAGGAGCCCCCGGAGGCCACAACGAATGACGCAGAACTAAGCAGAGGGCTGCTCACTCTAGGCGGCAGCGCAACTGACACGACACGCTGGAACTTTGTTCTTGTTGGGGACTGCATCCCTGGACAGTAAGCGTCCTGAGGCCCTGAGAGGGCATGGGGGGGGGAGGTTTAGAGTCCCCTAGATGGTGGTAGGGGTACCCGAAGGGGGTTATAATCAGGGCTCCCCAGGTGAGGCTGGGGTACATGTTGGGGGCTTGGCACTACCTATCCCCGGACCCCTGGGGGCAATAGGGACGGCCCGGGCTCCGGTCTCTCCTTTCCCCGCCAACCTGCCGGTTGATAGGCTACTGGGCCACATAGCACACTATTCAGGCGGGTGGAGGGGAGGGGGGGGAAAGGGGGACCGCTAGAAATGGGGGGGACGCTTAACGAAGGCAAGGGAAATAGTGGGGGAGAAGGAGGTGGGAGGGGAGGATGGGGGGTACAGGGACGCAAGGTATAAGGGGAACCGGGGAAGGGATTAAAAGGAAGAGAGAGGATGAGGAACGATCAGAGGACCAAGAAAAGGGACACAAAATTTTATTATAAAAAAAAAAAAGAAATAGAAAGACAAAAAGGAAAGAAAGGAAATGCCAGAGAGAGGATAGGAAAACAAAAAGGAGGGGAAGGACACAAAAAGAGCAGCATGGGGGGGGAGGGACAATGGGGAGGGAGAGGGAAACGCTGGTTTTAGAGGGGGGGGGAAGGAACGCACGAGGGGGAGGATGGTACTCCAGTCTAAGGGGAGGGGGACACACTTAGGGGGTCACGAAGGCCCACTGTTTGACGGACCGGAGGAGCGAGGTGGTCGGATGCCCACACGGTTTGACCGACCCTCGGGACTCTCATGCCCTTAGCACGGCTTATTTCTAGGGATTTCAGGCTTACCCAGCATGGGTGAGAGTACACGCGCCAGCCGACTTTGATAAGGTGGCAAGGCTGCTAGCCGCTTGGAGGGGCTCCTGCACAAGCAACCAAGCTATAGATGTAAATGTATAGTTCTCCACGTAACTCTAAGTTATGACATAGTTGATTCTCCATACACTACACTCAAGTGCCAGGCACACTCCACTAGCAACTGACGGGGGGAGGGGGGCTGATAGTAGTGACCTGTCTCTCCTCTCGCACTCACACCCTCTGAGACCCTTGCTAGGGTCCTCCACCCAACCCATTACACCACAAGGCTCTTCTCCGCCCTCCGGGCTTGGCACTCTTCCTTTAAGCCCAGGCCTACCCACACCAACTTTGGTTGGGGGGGTGTTTAGTTGTGTGTTTTGTTTTTTTTTTCTTCCTTTTCCCTCTTCCTTCCCCCTCCTCCCCCTCCCTCACCTTTGTCGGCGGGAGCTGCCGCACCCTCCTCGCCCGCTGATCGGCCACTGCTATGCCTCAGGGGGACCAGGATAATCTGCCCCACCAGGGACCCACCGCGGCGGAACAACTGCTCCGGCTGGGATGCATCTCGATTAATTGCAAAGGCCTGAATAACCCGGCTAAGAGGCACCGGGTCCTCAGATGGGCCAACAGGACCGGGGCGGATGTCATCCTTCTCCAGGAAACACATTTTGAGCATACTAGGACCTTCCCTTTGCACAATAGACATTATACAGTCTGTCATTTAGCGAGCTCACCCTCGGGTAAACAAAATGGGGTAGCCATTCTGGTCCGTAAGACCTGCCCTATTCACTTCACATCCACAGTCGCGGATCCATTGGGGAGATACCTGACGGCAGCGGGCCACCTGGGATCACATAAATATGCCATCACGTCGGTCTATGCTCCCACGACCCCATCGGTGCACTTTTGGGACTCTTTTCAGGCTCATCTGGGCCTCTTCCCCTCCCACCACGTGATTATCAGCGGGGATTTTAATGCGGTTCCGGCCCCAGAACATGACAGGCGGAGGCGGGTCCGGATGGACTCCCACCAGACGTCTGTCGCGAAAGCGGACAAACTGCTTCAGTCCTTCCTGAAGGCAACACAGTTAGTGGACGTATGGCGGCTCCAACATCCCCTGACAGCAGACTTCACCTTTTTCTCGCACCCTCACACCTCATAGTCCCGAACTGACATGTTCCTGACATCCCCTTCCTTGCTACAGTTTCTGCACAGATCACGTGGTCAGATCACGTGGTCGAACCACGCTGACATCACGCTTTCGGTTCACATCCCACAGGCCAGCAGACAATGGCATTGGAGACTGAACCCCACACTCATTCATGTCCCACACATCCAGGAGAATATCAGACAGGCCATACAGAATTTTTTCGACAGCAATAAAGTGTCGGTAACTTCCGATAGCATGCTGTGGGCTGCCCATAAGGCAGTGATCCGAGGCACTCTAATTGCGGAGGCAACAGCACACAAAAGGCGTAAATTAGCACAGCTAGCACACCACCTCTCGGAACTCAGGCGCATAGAGCACCTACATAAGCTCACCCCCACCTCCGACCTCTCCCGACAGCTTCAGACGCACAGACAAGCTATACAGGCATTCATGACCCAAGATTCCAAGAAGGCACTCCTTTGGACCAGACAACTGTTCTATGAGAAGTTCAATAAAGCGGACTCTCTCCTGGCGAGCAGACTACGACGTAAAGCAATACACATACACATAGCCTGACGGGCACTTACAAGACGACCCGTCTCAAATAGCGGCAGTGTTTCACCGATACTATGCCGATCTATATGATCATGACCCACGCACCAGACAGGACTCGCACGCCTCTGAAAGAGCCGTGGAGGTCTTTCTGAGAGACATACCCCTCCCACAGCTCACGGCGGAAGCCAGAGATGCACTGGAAGCGCCCATCATGGTAGAAGAGGTGGCTGATACAATTAAGACTCTGCGCCCCAATAAATGCCCAGGCCCGGATGGGTTTTCGGGATTATACTATAAAACATTTTCTGGGGCCCTTCTCCCGCACCTTAGGGACCTGTTCACCTCCATAATTAAGGGGGAGGCGATACCTCCAGACATGTTGCAAGCAAATATAAGCCTGATACCAAAGCCAGACAAATCCAATCAGGACCCTGGACATTACCGCCCCATTTCGCTCCTTAATGTGGACATTAAGTTACTCACTAAACTCCTTGCTAATAGGTTGCAACCTTACCTTCCGAAGCTGATTCACCCAGACCAAGTGGGTTTTATCCCACACAGACAAGCTAGTGACAACACCAGACGCACCTTTGACCTGCTGTGGGCAACCACACGTAAAGAGTCCCCCACACTGCTGCTTTCCCTTGACGCCGAAAAGGCATTCGACCGCATTCTATGGCCATACTTATTTGCAACACTGGACAGACTTGGACTTCCCCACGGGTTCCTGATGACAATCTGCAACCTATATTCATGCCCGACTGCACGGTTACTCCTGCCGAACACCCCATTGCCCTCCTTTCACATATACAATGGTACACGACAGGGATGTCCCCTCTCGCCCCTCCTCTTTGCCCTTTCCCTCGAGCCCCTTCTCCAAAAGATAAGACTTGATCCTGCCATTAAGGGGATAACAATTCGGAAGGAGGAGTATAAGATCGCGGCTTATGCCGATGACCTTTTACTGACACTGACTGACCATGAAGCCTCGTTGCCCCCTCTGTTGCGTCTCTTAGACAACTACTCTTTGATCTCGGGATATAAATTGAATCTGGACAAAACGGAGGCACTGGGACTTCATATCCCCCACGAGATGGACAGGTCCCTTCGAGAACGGTATCTATTCCGTTTCCGTCTGGATTGCATCAAGTATTTGGGGGTGTACCTCC